AGTAACTTTATTAAGTCATGAAGTATTACCCTCATCTTATTTATAGCAACAGCCTGTGGGAGACATTTATTGTCTTGTTTTTAATAATTAATGTTATTTATGAGATTTATGTGTGGCATATTTGCCTGTTGATTTTATTCATTCTTTTTATTTAATTTTTATCATTATTTTGTGTTATAAGAACTTACTAAAGACTCCAGGGTTAAAAGACCAGCATGTAGTGAAGCGCCGGGAGCAGACTGCCTCAGACAACAGAATGCTGATAATCACTGCCATGACACCCATTTTGTTGATGTTGAACTTCATAGTTACGCCGTCTTCTGCCCTTATTTTCAGAAATTACTGGAGACACTTTGGGCCAGCAGCAGCACTGATGACCCTGGATGAATGGCAGGCCAAGAACTGTCTGATGCACAAGCGCTTCGATAAGATACCAAAGATCTTTGAAAGGAGTCCGTGTCCGTAAACTCAGCTTTGTGGTTTATAGACGCGTCAGGAAAAACTACACTTTAAAAACATGTTTGTGTATATGTATATATTTGGGTATTTAGGTTTTCTTTCTGGCTTTTTGATTTACTTTTCTTTCAAATGCATGCACGTTCCTCCTAATTTAAAAACTTATGCATGTTTTCAGTGGTTTTGTTTTGTGAAAGTCTGAATCACTGAAGAATGTCTTAAACTTGAATTACTGACTTAGATTTTTGGATTTTAGGTATTTGCTACTTCATATTTGTCTCATGTTTACTCTGCATATGGTTAGTTTTTACTCCTTTGCTGTAAAAGCCTGATGGGAGCACCCTGAGGGTGGGCGGCCGGGACCCACCCGAGTGTGAATGTGAAAACTCGAGGTGATGTCGGATTTTCAAATTTATACCACAGGTTAATTTGCTAAAACTCTCAGGTGACGTTGAATCTCACTGACCTCGGGGACAGAGGTGAAGTTTTCTTAATCTTTTGGAAAATTCAAATAGAGAAAGAAGTCCCCTAAGATTTTCAAAAGCATACCATTGGTGGATCTACTAGGAGGCTGGGGTTGGCACTCGTGGCTGCCAGTGTTTTTCATGTGTTCCTGTTAATTGGTCTCCTCTCTGGGGTTGTAACGCAGCAGACAACAGACTTCCAATCCAATAACAATGAGACTCAATTTCTATCTTTGCTCTTTGTTTTTGGACCTTTTGTTTTTGTGCGTCTTTTATTGCACTTAATTTTTACTTTACAGTAGCGATGATTTGTTACTATGTCAGTTTTACTTACGAAGTAACAAAGAAGCATCTGCACTTTCTAGGTACTGTTCTTTGAAATATTTACTCAGCGTTGGTGTAAATATTTAAAGATTTTGCTCAGTAACTAAAAATTATGAACATGGTTATATTGTTGCATTAAACGTTCTTTTTCCATGGCTGATTCTTACTGTCGTCTTTGGCCATTTATTTAAAAAAAATATAATAATCATAATCAGACAAATTTAAATACAGTCCAGTGTCAGGACTCTAATTGTATTTTTTTTCCCCCATATATTTTTAATTAAAAAGTTGTGTTTTACAATACAAACATACATTTGAACACCCTCACATTCACACACCCATCCATACATCAAACCTGCCTACATCATATTCAAATGTACAAATAAGCATAGTTCTCACAGTAATACGAGGAATTGGGGTAAACAAGGTTCTCCCCTCTTTTCCTTCTTTCTCATAAACATCCTTCACCTCCCTAAAATATCCATATATGGCTTCCACATATTCACAAAGTGCCACTGTTTGCCCATGGCAGTATATGTTAGTCTCTCCAGGCCTAGAGAGTATTTCCTTCTTCCAGAGTCCCATGGAGGGAGCATCCATACTCCCCCAACATAGTGCAATGGCTTTTGTGGCTTGAAGTAGTCCATAGTCCAGTAATTTCGTCGGTTTTTTTTCGGTTGTTTAAATTCCCTTGGATATATTCCAAGTACACAGAGTTTACCCTTGAAAGGGATTTTTACCTTAAACACTTCAGACAGACATTTGATATCTTTCCAAAATTCCTGGATTTTAGGACATTCCCATAGACAAAGGAGAAGAGTTCCTTTTTCAACTAAACATTTAGTAAAGATGTCTGGAATATCATTGGACACATGATGGAACTTGGCGGGTGTTATATAGGTTCTCGTGAGCCCTTTATATTGCAGGAGTTTAAAGTGTGTGTTTGTTTGTTTTTGTGCTTTTAAGCAAGCCTGGTTCTAGTCATTTTCATCTGTCCTCCTGGATCTCAAGTCTCCAAGCATCCAGGTTATCTGCTGCTGAGTCTGTGGAGGAAAGCATCAATAAATGATATATATATTATCTATATATATTATCAATAAATGATAATATATATAGAGAGAGGAAACCTTTCCCTTTTGTATTCTTAAAGCATGCCTCTTCTGTTTTTGTTAATGGTGAAAGTTCAGCAATCTTTTGCAGTTTTGATGACAAATAATTTTTCAATTGTAAATATTTAAAAAAGTGCTTTGGGCGTATTATTAAATACTTCTTACATAACTGATCAAATGTGAGCAACCTGCTATCTGCATATAAGTCTTTAACTTTTTGAATTCCTTTATTTTTCCATATTTTAAATCCTCCATTTTTACCAGGAGTAAATGTTTCATTTCCCCTAATAGGGGTGAATTGCAAAAGCGATGGAGGATCATCCACATGTTTATGTGCTGCATGCCAAATTATAATTGTATTTTTCAAGAAAGGGTTCTTTGTATTCTTTTTTTAATGTCTTAGTGTCTGAAGGATGTAGAAAAGTGTGTAAGGGAAGATCTGGAACAGATTCTTGCTCAATGTCAACCCAGGCTGGGAGGTGTTGTTGGGCAAAAATAATTGGTGGCTGATGTTAGTTGGGCACGGAAACTCTAACCAATGGTTTAGCGTTTCCGTGACCTTTTCTACAAGGGGAACATAATTTGAGGTT